TGTCAATATCCACAAAATAACTGGCTGGGATTTTTATTGAGATTGCATTGAATCTATAGATCAAGTTACAGAGAACTCACATCTTGATTATATTTAATTTTCCTATCCGAGTACATGGAATATCTCTCCATTTATTTAGATCTTCTTTGATTTCTTTCACCAGAGTGTTGTAATTTTCCCCATATGGATCTTGTACATATTTTGTTAAATTTATACCTAAGTATTTAATCTTTTCTTTGGTGCTAATGTAAATGGTATTGTCTTTTTAACTTCAAATTCCAATTGTTTATTACTAGTAAATAAGAAAGCAATTGACTTTTGTATATTACCCTGTATCCTGTAACCTAGCTATAGTTGTTTATTAGTGCTAGGATTTTTTTTTTTCTGGTTGATTCTTTGGGATTTTCTACATAGACAATCGTTATCATCTACAAACAAAGACAGTTTTATTTCTTGCTTCCCAATCTGTATACTTTTTATTTCCCTTTCTTGTCTTATTGCAATAGCTAGGACTTCTAGTATGGTGTTGAGAAAGAAATGTTGAGAGTAGACATCCTTGCCTTGTTCTTTTTTTTTTTTTTCCTTTTTCTGTGAGGCAGATCAGCCCTCAGCTAACATCTGCCAATTCTTCTCTTTTTGCTGAGGAAAACTGGCCCTGGGCTAACATCCATGCCCATCTTCCTCCACTTTATATGGGAGGACCCCACAGCATGGATTGACAAGCGGTACATTGGTGCACGCCCGGGACTCGAACTCTGGGCCACCGCAGCAGAGCATGCGCACTTAACCGCTATGCCGCTGGGCCAGGCCCTCCTTGCCTTGTTCTTAATTTTAGCAGGAAAGTATCTAGTTTCTCATCAATAAAGTTTTACATCTAATATTGACTAGTTTTTTTTATTTTTATGTTCATTTCTGTTATTAAAAGTAAAAAAATTAACGGGGCCGGCCCGGTGGCGTAGCGGTTAAGTACGCGCGCTCTGATGTGGTGGCCTGGGGTTTGGATCCCAGGCGCGCACCAACACACTGCTTGTCAAGCCATGCTGAGGCAGCGTCCCCCATAAAGTGGAGGAAGATGGGCACGGATGTTAGCCCAGGGCTGGTCTTCCTCAGCAAAAAGAGGAGGATTGGCAGATGTTAGCTCAGGGTTGATCTTCCTAATAAAAAAGAAAAGAAAAAAATAATATAAATAATAAAAGTAAAAAATTAAAATTAAATATATAAAAGAAGGACAATAACTGTAACCTATTGTTCTCATCCAAACACAATATGGTAAAATGTGAGTATTTTCTTATAATTCTATATATGGGTTATTACTCTTATTACATCATTATAAGCATACTGATTATTCATTTTATTGTCAGGATTTTTTCAGTTAGTTTTTTATCTTAAATATTTTAATGTTACTACATATTCTTTGAAAATGTTAATGACTCTACAATATTTCATCAAATGGATATTCCATACTTTAGGTAATTATTCCCCTATGAATGAATCTCTTTATTTCTAATTTCCATCTTTTTTTTTTTTTTTTGTGAGAAAGGTCAGCCCTGAGCTAACATCCGTGCTAATCCTCCTCCTTTTACTGAGGAAGACTGGCTCTGAGCTAACATCTATTGCCAATCCTCCTCCTTTTTTTCCCCAAAGCCCCAGTAGATAGTTGTACGTCATAGTTGCACATCCTTCTAGTTGCTGTATGTGGGACGCGGCCTCAGCATGGCGGGAGACGCGGTGCGACGGTGGGCGCCTGGGATCCGAACCTGGGCTGCCAGTAGTGGAGCGCACGCACTTAACCGCTAAGCCACGGGGCCGGCCCCTTTAATTTCCCTCTGTCATATATAATGCTACTATAAAAATATTTGCACACACAGCATTTTGTATATTTAGAATTAATTTATTATGATAAATTTCTGAAATTGGATTAAAAGATATGAAAAAATCTAAGGTTCATGATATATTGAAAAATTGTTTTCCATGAGTATTGTACAAATTTATATTCCCATGAGCAATGTCTTAGAATCTCATCAACATTGATTTTCATCACTTATTTTAATTTTGCTAATTTTATAAGAAAAAATATTAGTTATCTTTATATGCATTTTTAATTACTATTTATTTAATTTTTTGTTAGCTATACAGTTGCATTTCCTCTTTTATATTTTTTATTCATGTTGTTTGGCCATTTACCTGACTTAGTGTTTTTCTTATTGATTTGCTTGAATTACTTACATAATAAAAAGTTGGCCATTTGCCTTCTAGATTTGCTCAAACATTTTCCAAGTTTGTTATTTGCCTTTCAATTTTTAATTTTTTATATATTTTAATTATAATTTATTTATATATGATCACATGTAAATATGATCATATAAACTATATAATTTAATATTTAGTTCTGTTTTCTTCTAGTTTTCTGTGGCTATATATTTTTTTAATTGTGGTAAAAAATACATAACATAAAATTTACCATCTTAACCATTTCTGTGGCTATATATTTTTGAATCAAATATATTTGTGAGGGAGTAAATTATTACACTTAAAAATTTTGTTTTTAGTATTTATGTCAGAGTATATACACATATCAAGTCATTATGTTGTGCACCTTAAACTAACAGAATATTATATGTCAATTATATCTCAGTAAACCTGGAAAAATTTAATTTTATAAATAGTGAATTAATTGTATCAATGCCATTCATTCAATAGACAATGATTAAGCATCTACTCTGATAAGTGATAATAAAAATTTAGATAAGAGATATTCTTACAGTCTAGAGGAGGTGACAAACATTTCCAGGATTATGTAATAAATGCAGGGATAGAGGTATACATAGTGTACTATAGGTACATTCATTCATTCAACTTATCCTTTTGTGACTACTAGGCCCCAGACATTCAATAGGAAAACAAACAGTCATGGTCCTTGTTTTTAAAAAAGAGCAAGAGATTACAGTTGAACAAAGGATATAGATAAATTTATCATGTGACTTAGTGATTTTGTGTGATAAGTGTCATGGTAAAGAAAGCACGGGCTGCCACAGGAACACAGAGGGGATCCATCGAAATCAAATCAAACTGGCTTTTTCCCTCTCTGGCTGCCTGAAGATTGACCACCATCACAAAGCACACAGCAGCTTTCCAGACCGGGAAGTTCATGACCAATGGGCTACTTCAGCAAAAACAAACGGTCAGTGACGTCCTTCATTCTGGGAAGGCAACAGTACCTAAGACGGAAATTTGGGGAAAACTAGCCAAAATGTACAAGAGCACACCAGATGTCATCTTTGTATTTGGATTCAGAACACATTTTGGTGGTGGCAAGACAACTGGCTTTGGCATGATTTACAATTCCTTGGATTACAGCAACAAAAAAATGAACCCAGACATAGACTTGGAAGACATGGCCTGTACGAGAAGAAACAGACCTCAAGAAAACAGCAAAAGAAACAAGAACAGAATGAAGAAAGTCAAGGGGACTGCAAAGGCCAGTGTTGGTGCTGGCAGAAAATGAGCTGGAGATGGGAGAACAGAAGGAGTCAAGATTCTGCAGTGACTTTATCTGCAGTGATTGTGAAGATTTTTCACGAGAAAGTCAGTAAACTGTAAAAACTTTTTTTTAATTTAAATAAATAAATAAAATCAAACTGGGGAGTCAGAAAGGCTTTCCAGAGGACGTACTGAAGTTTTGAAGAACAGGTAGACATGAGCTAGGTGAACTGGGGACACATCCTATGCAGAGAGCATACATACCAAGGCACAGGGATATGAGTGATCAATACATGTACAACTTAGTGAAAGTTGTGTGTTATGGCTGACGGGAAGGGTGCTACATGTAGTTAACTGTTGAGAAAAGAAGCCAAAAATATAGGCAGGAGCCAGAACATTCTGTCTTTTATGCTAAATCCTAGCATCAATTTCTGAATAATCATTCCCCTTCACATAAAAATAAGAGTAGTGTTTATTGAGCACTTACTATGTGTCCGTCTCTGTTCTAAGTGCTCTACATGTATTGACTCATTTAATCCTCACAATAATCCACGCAGTAGATACTATTATTATGCTTTTTCTTACATAAGAGGAAACTGAGGTGCAGAAAGACTAAATAATGTGTCCCTAGCCACTCAGCTATATTTAAACTGAGGTAGTCTGACTCCAGAGGCCAAACTATTAACTACTCTGCTTCTCATTAGTATGTGATACTTCAAATATTTAAAACATTAAATTTTATAAAGGTTATTTGGAGGCTAAAGATTCCACACAATATTTCTTTCTATTTATTCTTATTCCAGAATCATGTTGTTTAAACTGTGCTTTTTTGTGTTTTCATATCTGAAGCTAGCCTATGCTTTCACTCTTTTCTTTTCCAGGTTTGTCTGGGGTTTTTTTTGAATTATTGCCTATTTATTTTTCAAAGAACTTTCACAATAATTTTGTTGAATTAAAATTTGGGATTAGAGGATTTTGGTTAAAACTGCATTAAATTTATAAATTAAATTGGAAAGTATTCAGTGTTTCCACCCAGAAAGTGCTATATATTTCTTCATTTGTCATCTTTCAAATATATCGATACATTTTTATAATTTTCTTAAAATAGGTAGCATTTAATATGATTATTCTTAGATGTGTTATTATTTTTGTGGAAGTGTAGTATCGTATGTTTTCTAATTCTTTATTATTGGCATATAGGAATGCTATTTATTTGTATATAAGATTGATTTTCCCTGAAATGTGAAATAACAAAATTACCACTCAAAAACTATAAAAATAGAAAAGGTGTATACTTTATTCAATAATGTTCAAAACATTCAGAAAAGATTTGGGTCAATATGAAAGGCTACAAAGAAAACATGGCATTTTTATTCATTGTTTATATACGTTTTAGTTCACATTCGAACTGCTGTCAGTGATGCATTTTCATCTAATTTCTCCTGTAATAAGAGAGAAGGAAACGTGGTGGTGAGTGTAATAGAGCCACCTCCCTCAAATTACGTTGCTCTCCAGGACCCATCCTAAGTCTCACAGTTCAAGCTAATCATTGACGGAGCTTTACAATCACAAGCTTTTACTGAAGCCTTGATAAGACAGTCTAGCAGTGCGTGGCAAATGAATCCAAGCTGTGCAGCAGGATCTCCAGGGAATGAATGGATTTTCTCCAGCACCGATGAAAGAAACATACGCTATAGGAAAACAATGTCCAACGGGGGACTACGAAGATCTGTCATCCTGTCAGTATTTATTCTCCTACGAGCAGTTACTGGATTCTCTGGAGACGGAAGAGCTATATGGACTAAGAATCCTAATTTTAGTCCGGTAAATGAAAGTCAGCTGTTTCTCTATGACACTTTTCCTAAAAACTTTTTCTGGGGAGTTGGGACTGGAGCATTTCAAGTGGAAGGGAATTGGAAGACAGATGGAAAAGGACCCTCTATATGGGATCATTTCATCCATACACACCTTAAAAATGTCAACAGCACGAATAGTTCCAGTGACAGTTACATTTTTCTGGAAAAAGACCTATCGGCCCTGGATTTTATAGGAGTTTCTTTCTATCAATTTTCAATTTCCTGGCCAAGACTTTTCCCTGATGGAATAGTAGCAGTTGCCAACGCAAAAGGTCTCCAGTACTATAGTACTCTCATCGATGCTCTAGTACTTAGGAACATTGAACCTATAGTTACTTTATACCATTGGGATTTGCCTTTGGCGCTACAAGAAAAATATGGGGGGTGGAAAAATGAAACCATAATAGATATCTTCAATGACTATGCCACATACTGTTTCCAGACGTTTGGGGACCGTGTCAGATATTGGATTACAATTCACAACCCATATCTAGTTGCTTGGCATGGGTATGGGACAGGTATGCACGCCCCTGGAGAGAAGGGAAATTTAGCAGCTGTCTACACTGTGGGACACAACCTGATCAAGGTATTGTACAGCTGTCTTCATATCATAGCTTCCAAGTATAAGGAGCAGGAGGTAAAAAGAAACACTAAGAAATGTATCTTCCTTTTAAGTAATTCTTTTTATTGAAATCAACTCAACTAATCTTAGTCTAACTCACAAGTTCTATCTTCAGAGTGCATATTTAGTGTTTTATTTATTTACGCTATTGTTAATGTATTCATCCAATTATTTTCCTTAAAAGTTGCACTTTTAAAATTATTTAACTATTTTTAAATCTACAATTATACATTAGAGTGTGAGAATATGAGTTTGCTTTCATCCTGTGGAAAACCAGTACTTTTTAAATTTAATTGTTGGAACCCTTTTCTGACAACATGCAACCATTTCAGAATTATGCTAAGACATGACCATTTAAAATATGTATTTGTTGTTAGTATTTCTATTGTTAGTGATACTTAGCAATAGTAAGCTAAATAAATATTAGATAACTGATACATATTAAATACAGGAATTGAAATAAATCTACTTCACAGTTGGTTTATTTGTTACATGGCAGAAAAGATGAGATTAATTGTTCTAGGAGTTAAAATTAAACTAGTAATATAAAAACTGGGAAGAATATGCTATATTCTGTGTGTTATTATTAGTGTTTTAAAGCAGTATATTTCAAAAACTAGAGTTTATGTCGGCAAATGTTAAAATTATTGAAACAATAGTGAAAATGTAAGCAAAATAATAGCTAATATTTATTGAGTGCTTACTATGTACCACAGACTACATTAAGCACTTTACATGCATTATCACATTTAATTCTCACAATAACCTTGTGAACTAGGTCCTATTATTATCCCCATTTTAAAGATGAAGAAACTGAAGTTTAGTGAGATTAAATAACTTGCCCAAGGTTACAGAGTAAAATGCAGCTGTGGTGAACATGGGATTTATAAATGACAACGTAATTAAACACTAAATATCTTTATAAGAATGTTTTTAAAAGAGCAATCTTTCAGAGATTTTCAAGAGATTTCACCTCTCATTGAGGCTAATATCCAGAATCAGGTTTAACTTTTTGAGTAAAATAGTTTACTTGAGAAAAATAAATTACTCTGGGCACCTGTTATATTTTGAGAATGAAAAAGCTTTATTAGCAGGGTTTTGTAATGTGCTAGGAGAAGTAATATGATTTTTTAATAATCAAATGTTAAATATGTAGAAATAGAAAAGATGTATAGAAACATAAAATTACTCCATATCTAGATTTGCACAGACAAAAATATCTGATAACTCTTCATTTTGTTTTTAAACTTTCTGGATTATTGTGTTATTGTTCAGTCACATCTGCCCTTGCAGTAAACAGATTGCATTGTAGGGATTTCAAGGTCAATTATATATCTTTGAATAGAGTTCTATATAGAAAATACTGTTAATCTGTGTGGATACACTATGATTTGACAAATAAGACCTTAAAGGGGAGAAAACTTATAGCTATTAACTATGAAGACTATGCATATATGTTAGAAAAATATTTCTTTTATTTAGTTCTTTTAATTATTAAAACAACACATGCTCCTGTAAATTGAGAAACACCAGATTGTACCAAATGATATAAAGTGAAAAAGTTAAATTCCTTTCTCCCTCTTCACCTGACAATCCCAACCTCGAGGAAACTACAGTTAATAGTTTCTTATATAGTCTTTTTAAAGTTTCCTATGCAAATATATCCCATATATGTTTATTTAATCTTTTTTATAAAGAAAAGCATTCTAAATTGTCGAAAGTTTTCAGTTACCTGGAAACATGTTAACAATTAGAATTTTCGTGGAAAAATATGGTTTAGTGGTTAATTTAAAGCCTTTAAAACTGGCTATCTGATAAAAATACCCAGGAAAAAGTTGTAACTAACAAATAAATATTGCTTCCAAACTCAGTATATAAAACGCTATATTTTTAGATTTTCCTCTAATTTGAGATAAACTCTGCCTTTAACACAAAATTAGCACTCTCTGGTAGTAAGATAAATTTTACTGTTTTAAATTGAGGGATTATATTTTTAAATTATTGTGTTTTCAAAATAATTTCTTCCATCTCTTTAAAATTTCTTAATCACTAACCTAAATAAGGAGTGTAAGGTATCCCTTGAAATCAATCATAAAGTGAAATATACTGCATAGCCCCATGAGTTATGGCCCCAGAGAGAAATCTTGCAATGGTTTGGTGGCCTGAGGTGAACTTGTTTTTCCCACTTGTCCCCTCTCTGTCCTTCCTTTAACATAGAAAAGATTAATTTGATATTTTATGTTGCAATGAAGTATTTCTTCCTTCTTGTGTTACCTTGTGACCCAGAAAAAGCATTCTTTAGGATTAGTTTTTAGTCCAAGAACATTTATTGAGTTAAAAAGCCTAATATAAAACTAAATTCATGGGTGGTTATAGACCACTTTATTTCCCAATCCTCAGGTATTGAAAAGACTTCATAGTGGCTGCTGGGGTCTTTTGAGTTCCAGGATGATCTTAAAAACTCCATCCCAGTCTGAAATGTCCTGGTTTGGAGGAAACTTGAATGGTCTAGCCAGTCCTGAGACTGGCCTGGAATGTTACACTTTTTTGCAGCGCTGGTGGTTACCTTAAAGTGAGTCTAAGCCTCAGGTAAAAATTTGCCATAATCACACCTACTAATGGATGCTCCACTCTGAGTTTGTAACAATATTTGGAATAGAAATAGGGTGCATTTTTTGGCTTGACCATCTCTAAGCAGAGTAATCATAGCTTTAAATATTATCTTAAATTTTTGCAACAACCTTGCCAGGTACCTATTATCCCCTTTTTGCAGAGTGATATTTCTAAGAGGCATCATGTCACTCCCCTGCATTAAATTCATTAGTGGCTCCCCAAAGCTTTTGGGATAAAGTCCCAATTTTTCACCAAGATCTTCAAGACACAACCCCCAGCCCCTTTGCCAGGCTCTTTCCTGACCATTCTCCCATCCCCATCACTAATGCCAACTCCTTTCACCCCACACTCCACCATAATGCCTTATTCAATTTTACCTTACTATTCCTTTCCACTCAGCCTCTACTAATGCTCTATCCAGCTAGAATGCCCTCTTACTCCCTGCTTTACCCATCTAATGTCCTTCAAGACTCAATCTAGGCGGTCACCACCTCTGAGTTATTCTTGCCCCGTTAGGGTTGGTGCCCCTCCTGAGGTCTCCCATGATAAGATGTGCTTGCTTCTCTCATAGCACTCATACCACGTGGTACTTTTCTGTCTCCTCAACTAGGCTGAGAGTTCCTTGAAAGGAGAGACTATTTTTTATTCATCTTTGTGTTTCCAGCATCTAGCACAGAACATTAGGTACGTGCTAGGTATAAATGTTTGCTGAATGAGTGGTTTAGGATTTCTATCTTAAAGCTTGTAATCAAAGAACCAATCTCAAGCTCTAAATTCATATTCCATTATATTATTTCTAATTCTTGAAATATTGCCTATATTAATCCAGTGCTGTATTAGTCAGGACTCTTGGTTGCAAGTCACAGAAACCTAATTTAAGTTGACTTAAGTAACAGTGAGCAATTTCCTGGCGTGGTAACCAAATCACGATGAATGGACCCAGGAACCAGGACACTCTCAGAAGCCCTTTATCTTGGTCTCTCACATCCATTTCTTCTTGTGGGTCATTCTCTCCTTTGTAGAGGGAAGATTTCTCTCTCCCAAGTTCAGTTTTAAAATCCCAGAGACAGATTCCAGCCTGTTCGGCCTATGCTTTCATTCCTCAGATCAGCAAAGCCCCAAGGTTTCACATTAGTAAAGGCAATAATGGTGTCTGTTTTCACTCTATTTTTAAATCAATAAATATGCATAATAACTTAAATTTGTAGATTTCCCTCCCTTAAAATGGAACATTTGAGAGCCTCTGAGTAGACATGCACAGAGGTTGGGGGAGATAAGTTTGCTCATGAGATGGCAACTCATTCAGTTTATTACTCCACTAAACACTACCAGCTTCCATGGCTTTACATCATTATCTTTCATAGACATGTACTGTTTACATTTGATCATTTCATGGCTTCAAATCATTATCTTTCATAGACATGTACTGTTTATACACAACCAGGATTTCTCAACCTTGGCACTATTGACATTTTGGGCCAGATAATTTCCTTGTTGTGGTGGGCTGTCCTGTGCATTGAAGGATGTTTAGCACCACCCCTGGCCTCTACCCACCAGATGACAGTAGCACCCTTGTCCCCAGGGTTGTGACAACCAAAATTGTCTCCAGACATTGCCAAATGGCCCCTGGTTGGGGTGGGGAGGAAAAACTCCCCCTTTCTTCCCTTGAAAACCACTGACTTAAACCTATAATGGACAATTGGTTAAAGACACAAAGTGTGAAGAACAAGGACATTGAAATGTAACTAGTATAAAGGACGTGAAATTGCGTCAATTTTACAAAATTGCCTCAAGGAGATTTTTACCAGATCTGTAAGGTGCATACCTAAACTCAAAATTAATTTATAGCGTATCAGGATGTTTTTAGAGAAGAAACTGTGTTTTAAAATAGCGTTAAAGGAGGAAATAACATTGATGATATCTAATTTAGCTTTTCATGCATTGGGAATAAACCGTCCCTAGTGGCTTTGTGTTATTTATGAAATACTTGAAAGAGCTGCCTCAAACCATTTCTCTTATATAGTTATTTATGAACAAAACACTAAACTTACTTTTTGAACCTTGTACTTTTTTAAAAAGCAAAGTTCAAGAATTCAAACAAAATGTTATATAAGCAGCTTTTAACCATTTTGGATGCCATAACATCGTGTTTCACAAAGTTTAATGGTTGTTTTTTGTTTTTTTGGTTTTTTTGATGAGGAAGATTAGCCCTGAGCTAACATCTGTTGCCAATCCTCCTCTTTTTGCTGAGGAAGATTGGCCCTGGGCTAACATCCATGCCCATCTTCCTCCACTCTATATGTGGGACTGCCACAGCATGGCTTGATAAGCAGTGCGCAGGTCTGCACCCG